AGATGCGAATGCAGCCATAACACTACTGGAAAAATGACCTGAAAAAATGTCAGGCTCTGAACGGGCCTTTGATTATTTAATTGCTACTGGAATTCATATACTCTAGCCGAGTATTAAGTCCACTGAACATATAGGGCCGAACTCACACACGACCGCTCTCTTGCGGCTTTGATAGCTCGGTTGGTAGAGCATTGCACCGGTAACGTAAAGGTCGTGGGTTCGAATCCCGTTCAGAGCCTGAGATTTTTTCAGGTCATTTTTCCAGTAGTGTTATGGCTGCATTCGCCTCTTTAATTTTTTTTTTTTTACATACACTGCTTAAACCTTTCAGTACTTATAGTAATGCCAACAATATTACATAACAAAGTTATAATACAAAAAAGGCACAACAGAAAGGGTATATACAAATTAAAGAAAACAATACAAAACAAAACCAAAACCAAAACAACGAAGGAAACCCTTAATTAACAACTGTAGGCTACTAAGTTAGCAAAGCTACAATGGTTACATTACCTTGTGGAAGATTATGCAGTTTGTAATAAATTAACCAAAAGCTGGAAGAGATGGATGGATATTTTAAAACAAGAACGGAGAAAACGATTACAGAGAGAAGGTTTGCTAGGCGCTTGTCAGGAGTAAGCCGATGGATTTTTAAAGGAGAAAAACTTCCATTTGTTTGTAAACTGAGGTGGAAATTGTACCGGATAATCTGATCACCAATAATTGCGTCAGTAATACCTGCGACTTTCCAGTAAAGTGTAACNACTTCCACTTGTTTGTAAACTGAGGTGGAAATTGTACCGGATAATCTGATCACCAATAATTGCGTCAGTAATACCTGCGACTTTCCAGTAAAGTGTAACTCCGTCCAGGTTTCTAGCACGCCTTGGACAAAAGAGTTATTGAACCCAGTCATATATAGAGATGTCGTCTTTGTGAAGGTAACACAAGAAATTCGCCTCCCCTCGATGATTTCCGAGACTGTTCTCGAAAACAAATTTCAATTCTCTATCGTTTTGTGGGTCAAGAGGCCGGGAAAAGATATTTCATGAGACTTAAGAGGTTGAAGTATATCAATCATTTCCAGGCCGCCCTCTTTGTAATCTTTGGTTGTTTAATATCCTATCGCCCTCACCGTCGCAGAGAAATTAGAAAAACATACATTTTATTAACTTTTTGTAAAGTCCTGACGGAGATTGTTATCGGCGTTAGAGTACAGACCAGTTAGGAAACAAGAGGACCTTTTATGATGGTAATATTAATTTTGCCAATTAAATGAACATTTCCTATTTTTTCAATCCCTCATCATAATTGGAGCAAAGCATTGCATTTCAGTGTATTGTAAGCCAAACGCCCAGTGCAGACTCCTCCGTACAGCCAGGAAATGTCTGACTTGTAACATTGTATCGGGTCTCTTTCTTTTGATGAAACCACCCAGAGCACTATTGTTTTCTCATAATTTACCTTGAGTTCAGAGATCAGATGAAATCCGTCTAAGACCTCCATTGCCGTAGAAAAGAGTTCTCCCTGTAAGTCCGTACTGTAAGTTACGGATCTCACTGGACCTCGCTAAATCGAACTCGGTTTATTACAATTCCCCGTTATTTTGAACTCAAAACCATTTTTCTTGGATTTCGACTTGTCTTTTTCAGACATTTACTATCGGCTATTTCGAGCTTCCCGCTATTTCGAACTATTTTTTTACCCTCAAAGTTCGAAATAGCGGAGTTACACTGTATATACTTATGGACTAAGTGGGAAGGGATATATTTGGCTGGAGGTCACGACGTACGAACAGAGCACTCCACATATTTTCCCGTTCTTCCCGAGTAAGTTGGCAACTGGGATAATTCTGTGTTGGTGAGTTCACCACAATCAGAGTAAAATTCGTCCTCAGCGGAATGTTCACTTTCGTCGCTGCAGAAACAAAATTTTTTCTTGCATCGATTTTGCGGGGCCACAAATTATTTTCCATCGGGCTCCCTACACTTTATGCCAAATAGAGGGTTGGTAAGTTAGCTGTCCTGTGATTTTTGATATTCAGTTACTTCTATTTGGCTACAATTCTTGTTTTTCTTAAACGGATTATGGGTTTATGGGATTTTGGAAAAAAAAAACAAATAAACAAACAAAATAGTGACAGCGTCAACGAAGGACAAACCTCTGTGTGAACATCACACGAATAAAGACGCGCAAGTCACGTGCCAAGACCTTCTAAGTGAGGGATGGACCATCATATTTTCAGGGGAGGTCAAGCAATTTTTCTGAAGAACATTTTTTTTGACTGTCAGGCCCTGAAAGAATGGATTTCGAAATGCCGATGTTTCTTTTGCTCGGCTCACTATGCACGACTGTTATGTCGCTTTTTAGGTGTAATTGTTCAACACCCCCTTTCCGCCCCGTTTCTCCTTCAGTGATGAAACGGTCCATTCCTAAATTCGAGAGATCACGTCCTGACTGGCTACCACGTATTTTAAGGCAGGTGACAAAAAATATGAAGTTGGCAGATTTATTGCTAAGTATTACAAGGTGACAGGTTTATGGCTAACAAAAAATGACAGTTACTATCATGCACAAATTGTCTTGATCAATACCGCAAATTGAAACGTTTGAAAATCAGCTTTTACGATCTCATTTAAATAACTGAAAGTAGCGTGTTTAATTTAGCCTTCAAAGCCAGGTCATTTTGACAGTTTGAAACGAAAGTAAAACTAACAAATCACGCACGCTAAACTGGAAAATTTACGAATAATAATTTAACCCTCACCAGGCCTGAAAATTGTTAAAATGTTGGACATTGCTTTCCGTTTAATGGCAGATGGTTCGGTTTTGGTAAAAGGACGTTGTTCCGTCCCACGGCACTACAACGCTCCTGCCTCTGCACAGTAAAAAACACAAACGAAACGAACGTTTGAACTTTGGTAGTCTCCATGCGTACATGAACGGATCAAGCACAGAACTCACTGACAAAAGTGCGTTAGCGATAAGATAGTAAACATCGTATGCAAAAGAGATTCGGCAAGAACAAAAATAAAGAACATGTACCTTGATAAAATAAGGAAAGAATGAGAAATAAAACACCAAAAGGATCAAAAGAAATGCAATGAACATTCTGTTCTCTCTCTCCAACTGTTTTCTTCTGTTGGCTGCTGTCAGACTTGCTCGAACATCTTTAAGTTCCTGTCTTTGAAGAGCAACCGTCTTAGAGATTTTTATATAAACTGCGGTTAAAGCAACTGCTGGTATAGCGAAGTGAGAGTAACAGTAGACAAGTGAAAAAAGTGCCAATGGTAGGCCAGAAACTGGAAGGACGGACAGAATCAAGGCATTTATCCAAATTAGAGCGATACCGATTTTCGCTCTGCTGTTAGAAATTTTATGGGGATATTCCAGTGGTTTAATCACTGCAATATATCGCTCGTATGACATTGCCACGAGCGTCAGCCCAGCGGCAAGAACGGACACAGCTCCAAGTAAGTATTGTGAGATGTTTACGATGAAAATACTTCCCAGCCCACAGTAGCTATAGATCCACCCGACGGCTCTAAGGTAGTTGATAATTCCCATGAGAAAATCCGCCACTGAAAGGTTTGCGATGAGGAATACAGATGGCGTGCGCAAACATCGGCAAGGATCGCGATAAATGGTGATGAAGAGAAAAGCGTTTGCGACAGTAATAATCGTACCGATCATAAGGTCAAAAATGATGAACCCAAGAATTCCATCTCCGAGGAGTGGTGTGTTGCTTGTTGGCTGTCCGCTTGCATTGGCTGACAGCGTTGAATTCATCGCCAAGACCACTTTTTTCAGAGCAGTTTCAGAATTTCTCTGCATTGGCAAATGTTGTAAGAGGTTATGGCAGCGTATTTAAGAATTAAGAGCAGATGTTGTATTTAAAATATTTACATTCTATTACCGACTATTTACGTGCAATTTCTACAAAAGCACTTAAAAGTGAACGATTTGCGTCAGTAAACATCTTGCGAAAGTGCTTGGAATATTCCCGTGACACATACATCCTCTCTTGCGACATATGATTAAACTCTACATGAGTAGTTCGTGCAAAAATTTATTTCCAGTTCTCCTTTATAGCAACATTAAGGTAGAAGCTTTTTAGCGCCTTTTTCTCGACAACAGTCGCATTGTGAATCTACTGTTTATGGTCTTCTTTTTTCAAAAACAGAAAAAATACGCAGAAGCCGGCAGGTGTTTTGGGATGTTTTGTATTCTGCTCAGTAGTTTCCAACACTTAACCAAGACCTTCGGAATGAATTCTCTTTTGAAAACCCTTACATTAGCCAGATACTATATGAAAAAGATGCACGTAACTTTAATGAGATTTGACCGATTGCAGACTCGGCCGACTCCAAGCACAGCAAGTATCACACACTTGGACGAATTGCAGACCTATTTCCAAATACTTAGATTGGAGAAAAATATGCAAAAGTAAAACCAATATGGCTAAATTACCACGATGTTTAATCTTAATGTCCAATAAATCGTGAGTGGTTCCGTATGTAATTTTTCCTTCATTTTGCCTACCTGATCAGACATCTGGGCCGATTAAGAGGAAAAACTGAATGACCATGAGTAGTAGGTATGGAGGACTGGGGGCGACATCTTAATCTTACTAAGGGTGGTGATTTCATTTGATAGAATTAATGAGGACTTCACATTTTACCTTAAAACATCTCACCTCTTCATTGAAATTATGCCATTTAGTCCAGAGAAGCTGAAAATGGAGAATGATAGTTTAATCTAAATTTAAAGGTTTCAAAGTGGTCATGGAAAAAGAAAACAAAAAAAAAAAATAAATAAATAAATAACAAACAAACAAACCACATCGGTAGATAAACAAAGAAATCTTTTTTTTTTGCCTCACTTTAATTAGTTTTGTGCACGCAGGAGCCCATTATTGGGTCAATGATAACTGAGCTTCAGATTATCTGTAGCAAATCAGATTTCCAACTTTAAAATTCGTAATAATGACAGGCTCATCTTGATTTAAACGAGAAAAAGAGACGTTTTTAAGTTTTAAAGTCATTAATCGACAGAAACGACTGTAAGATCCAATTCATGTACCACATATATACCTATATACCAATTATTGAAAGGGTAATAAAACTTGGGTCGAAGAAAAATACGTAGAGGTGGATGGGGGGGACTAAGGATGACATCATAATCTTTAGGGACGTGATGTCTTTTTTTATGGATGACTTCACGTTTGCCTCAAAACCTCTCCCCTTTCTACCTTTCCGAAGAAATTTTACCATTTAGGCCT